AGCACACTATGAAAAATAATACTATTGATATGTCAAATTTGTGAGTGGAAAACTACTCTTTGAATACAATAAATTATGTGGCAAAATTAACTTTTAGTGAGTAATAATGCAAACATTTTTTTTCATAAAATAATATAACTTTCACATCAACACACTTTTAATGGACAAATTCATAGTGTGTTAAAATTAGTCTTATCTCCTATGCTTAATTGCATGCAACTTGCATGCCACTTAGCTTCCATTTCTAATAACTTTTAATAACACACTTTAACTTAATACTCATGATTACTCATTTGATAACACATTTTTTAACTTCTTAAAAAGAAATATATTTTATTGAAGAAATTTTATTTTTTATTAAGTTTTATCACTTAGAATTATGTTTAATTTATTTATTATTTTAAATTATTATCGGTATTTATGTGTCAATATTAATATTAATATATATTGATATTAATGTATTATTATTATTCAAAATTTAAAAGATGTTTCGTTTTTCTCACATATTATAGCTTTTCATTTTTTTCCAAATAAAGGTCAAAACATGCTTCACTTTAGCTCTTTCTTTTCTTGTTCCGTAGTTGTTTAAAATACAATGACATATACCAACAATAGAGTTTCATAAAAATATTAATTGAAAAAAATCTATATTATATGTCTAACAAATTTAGTGACAAATTTAATTTTTAATTTTTAAATAAAATATATACATTTAGTGTCTAAAACATGTGTTTTCTTCTATAGAGAGAAGCTTTTAAAAGAAATTAAACTTTTTGTTTTATCAACTTTTTATCATAACCACAAAATAGTCTTTTTATCAATAGTTAATATCTTTATTTTCAGAACTTTGCTAATATCACATTTTTTTATATAAAAATTAAAGTGAAGTACTATATACATGTTTTAAAAAATTGTTTGGTACATCCTTATGTAAAATATTAACATATTATGTTACACACAAATAATAGTTATTTGAATTTCTTGATTATTAGATTCAGAGTTAGAGTTCGATTTCTAATAACGGTATATATAAATAAAAAAAAATTATTTATTTATCGGAAATTTTAAAATTTTGGCTTTTTCTTACTCAAGCCGGCTTCCAAAAATTTTATTATTAAAAGAAGGAAAAAAAAAATTAATTTGTTTTATGTTTCTATCAGGGGGTTATGGAACTGGGGGAGGTTCTTGAAAAAGTATTTGCTTATATGTTTGTTGTTTACTTTGGTAAGAAGTTTCATAGAAACAAACACATGAGAAGAAGGTTGAATCATATATGCAACACTATAAGTATGTAACTTTTCTGTCACCTTTCAATGATAAAAGGTGGCACATTATTTAGCTCATTTAGTTAAAGTTTGAAATAATCTTTAGGTTTCTATGTTTTTCAATATAGTTGATTTTTATTTTGAAATTCATTGTTCACTATCATGATGTGATGAATGTATATTGAAACATAAATTAGAATTTATTCAAGTTGATTTTAATTTTGACATTGAACTAACATATATCGTCAAGGCATCATCATCTTCTTCATTGAGTTGCTATCATGGACGATAACGGTATCGCGAATAATGCTGTCAAGAACAAGTGGTTAATGCCTCTATCAGTTTTCTTCAAAGATGCAAGGTACACATTCATCAATTTGTGTATGATCTAATTATCATACCATTGTTTCTTGAGGACTAAAAGTACTAATTGTTGGTTTTATTGATTTAAATGTAGCCTTGTATTCAAGATGGACACACTAGCTAAGGAGATACTTGGGATTGCATTCCCATCTGCACTTGCTGTTGCTGCTGATCCAATTGCTTCGCTTATCGACACGGCATTCATCGGCCACTTAGGTACATTTTTTTCTTCTCACTATAGTCTTGATCAGTATCGTCTTTGAGGGCGTGCAAGACGAACTACTGCACATGGCTCAAAAATCCTCACAGTTAAATCGTGGTTAAATAGGATCTTATAAAATATTGTCACAGTTAAATCGCGCTTAAATATGGTTAAACTACAGTTAATCTATACAGGACCTCCAAAAATTTCAGACGACTCTGGTCTGGTCTTGATTGGAGTTGTGAGACAGATCATTTTAATGTTGTGCCTTGTTTAAAGCTAACTTTTCATGTTTTTCATGTGTTTAGGGCCTGTGGAACTTGCGGCTGCAGGAGTTGCCATTGCGGTGTTCAACCAAGCTTCAAGGATTACCATTTTCCCTTTGGTCAGTATTACAACTTCCTTTGTAGCTGAAGAAGATACTATTGCTAAAATCAATAGTATAGCAGCAGAAAAGCAATCCAATGAAAGCATTAAGGCAAAGTCCAATGAAGTAATGCCTGGTGATCATTTGCTTCAAGACATTGAAGCAGGTGCAACAAAACAGGATGGTACCTTGAAAAATGAGACGAAAAATGGAGATGGTAATTCTTCTCTATCTTTCACTTTCCATGTGAAATTTAACTCTGTGTGTCTATGTTCTATGTTAAGTCTGTGTCAGACACCAAACACATTTTCAATCTGAAAGTGTCAGTGTTACTGAGATATATGATAAGGAAATGAGTGCATAGTGCATATGTTATATGTTGTTCTAACAAGGTAAATTTCATTATCAGATGCTAATTCAAATATAAGCAAGTCTACTCTTGTTACTAGTAATGGTAACAAGAATGAGTCAAAACCTATAAGAAAGAAGAGGCACATAGCTTCAGCATCTACAGCATTACTTTTTGGCACAGTTCTTGGCCTTATTCAAGCTGCAACCCTTATATTTGCAGCAAAACCTCTATTAGGTGCAATGGGTTTGAAAAGTGTATGTATCTTTATCATCAAAACTACTATGTTCAATAGATTAATCAACTAGAATAAACTTTTGTTATGTTGAGATATTTCTCTTTTTTTTTGTTGTTGTAGGATTCTCCGATGATGACCCCGGCTGCTAAGTATCTAAGGCTGAGAGCCTTAGGTGCTCCGGCAGTGCTTCTCTCTTTGGCCATGCAAGGAATCTTTAGAGGGTTCAAAGACACTACAACTCCTTTATATGTCATTGGTACGTTCAAACGATCTATTAGATGAGATATGGCCTCAAAATGAGTTCATACAGGGGTAGACATCCTGTTATGAGTCTCACATTAGACAATATATGGTTTGAACATACTCTGATCGCACTCCATATAGTTCACTCTTGAACATGAGAGAATGTGTTGAGAGTCTCGTATCAGATGAGATATAACCTTTTAAAATTTGTCATTGTTTTTCCTAACTCGGTTCATTTTTTGCTATGGTTTTATCTAGTTTCCGGGTATACATTGAATGTCGCTTTGGATCCACTACTTATCTTTTACTTCAAATTGGGCATCAGAGGTGCAGCCATTTCACATGTGCTCTCTCAGTAAGTCTTATCCTGATGATAATAATGTTCAACCATTTTTATTCTCAAAACTTCAGCTTACAAAATGGTGATGCTTTTAGGTACATTATGGCAACTTTCCTCTTGTTTATATTAATGCGAAAAGTGGACCTCGTACCTCCAAGCATGAAGGATTTGCAGATTTTCAGGTTTCTTAAAAATGGTATGTTGATTTTTTTTAATCTAAAACACCGAGCATGAAACCTTAAGTACGCGATTTTAATCAGACGGTTCAAATATGGCTAACTGAGTGCAATCACGAGAGTTTATCGAATTTTTTGTCAATTTCAATAGGTGGTCTTCTGTTGGCAAGAGTTATCGCAGTGACATTCTGTGTGACCTTATCAGCCTCATTAGCAGCAAGGTTAGGTCCGATTCCAATGGCCGCATTCCAAACTTGCCTCCAAGTTTGGATGACATCTTCCCTTCTCGCCGACGGTTTAGCTGTTGCAATACAGGTACATCAACATTCTTTTCCTGCTAACGAGAATTCGTCTACTTCATGCGTTTCCTGTTACTGATTAAGTTTCTTTTTTCACAGGCAATTCTCGCGTGTTCGTTTGCTGAGAAAGACTACAATAAAGTGACTACTGCCGCAACAAGAACGCTACAAATGAGTTTCGTTTTAGGAGTTGGACTCTCTCTATTAGTCGGAGGCGGACTATACTTCGGAGCCGGAGTGTTTTCCAAAGACGTTGCTGTTATTCACCTAATCAGACTAGGCCTCCCGGTATATCTTCCTCCAAACACAATGATTCGATGTAAAACTTCGTTACATCAGATTTTTTATCTAATCTCATTTCAATTTTCACCAGTTTGTTGCTGCTACACAACCGATCAATTCGTTAGCCTTCGTCTTCGATGGCGTGAACTACGGAGCATCTGATTTTGCTTACTCCGCATATTCCTTGGCAAGTTTGCATGCACTTTCTCTTTTACCTTCTTCATATGTTTTGTCATCTCTGTCAAATTTTATTCAAAAACTTAGTATGCTGTTTTTTCAGGTCTTGGTCTCATTAGCAAGTGTTACTTCTTTATTCTTTCTCTACAAGACTAAGGGTTTCATCGGGATCTGGATCGCATTAACCATCTATATGAGTCTTCGCATGTTCGCTGGCGTATGGAGGTAAACTTTCCTAACTTCTAACGCAAGAAACTATATGAAAACAACTTATAACACGTTGAACACGTTGAACGCAAGAAAATAGCTTATATGATAAGCGTTTATGCTTTATGTATGTGCAGGATGGGAACGGGCACAGGACCATGGCGTTTTCTCAGAGGCCACTCGTTGTCTTGATGATATATCTACGAAAATAAATTTCATTGTGTAGCGTTACGTTTTACATCACTTTTCGGGATCATACGTGCAAGTGCTATATCTAGTATCGTCAATGTTGTCAATTGCGGATTGCAGAAAATAGTGGTTCATTCGTTCAAACTCCGCGACGCTGTAGTACTATAGCGCTGCTATAACCGCTATTTAACAAAAACTTTGTAATAAAGTGTACCACAGAAGAACAATAGTATTTAGTTCGAATTATTACGTTGCGCTATAGCGTTGTAGTGCTGCTATGGCCACTATTTGACAGCAATGAGCATTGTTGTCTCATGTTTTTTTCTCTCTTTTGAATATGTATCATCAATGTTATTTTGTTGTTGTATTTTGAAGATTATTCTTCCAGATGTTAGTATGTAAACTCGAATGCATAATGAAAAATAAATTGCTTTACAATCATTTGAAGTTCAATTTCAAATGCATTCGTAATTAGAATTAAGAGTGTTCAAATTCAAACTCATTCAAATAAAAAAGTAAACACTAAAAAAATCGAATATAATAGCTAACCATGTATATTCATTATTTACTTGTCCATACTCCATAGAGATCATGGAGTGCACTATATCGACATGATATTTCCTTTTTAAATTCACAAAATTTAGTCTAAGTTATCTATTCTTATCTTATTAACATTCATTATTATCGTTTGGCTTAATTCAAAATGTTTAAAAATAGAATTTAATTGAAATACACCGACGGTATAAACAATCATCAATTAATCACAATCGTTAATTTATTTAAACTGTTTATTTTTTATTTAAATTTTTTTTAAAATAATACTATATTTTAATAGTTATGATTGAGTGTTGATGTAAAAAAAATTACATTAAGAATGCATAACAATTAAACTCTTTAAAATACTAACATGATGAGTCTGGTTACGCAAGGTAATCGGATCCATCTTTTTTTATTTAGGCTCTTTAAATGGGTCCTAATTAATTTTTTATATTATATTACACTTCTAAATCTTTTAAACAACCTAACTACATTTTTTAAATATCCCTATAATCTATTAAAAATATCCTTATAATCTATTAAAAAATTTAAAATGAATTCCACCAAATTCCAAAATATAGCCTACATAATACTCCCTATGATCTTTATTATAAGATAAAATTTATTTTTTAGATTCATTCAATTATTAATGTATCTGGTTCATATATAGATCAAATACATTAATCATTGAATGAATCTAAAAAATGGATTTTCTCTTATAATAAAGACCGGAGGTAGTACTATTTATCTATAACAATTCAATTGCATAAACTCTCAAACTTGTCTTTTCACAACAAATTATTTACACTAAGAAAATGATATTTAAGTAATTAAGTAATGAAAATTTTACCTTGTACCCCTAGAGTTATACTCATATCCCAATATTTGAATTTTTTGGACGAAAATGCCTTCATATAAATAGTAGAAACCCAAGAGAATTTCACTTTCCATTTTCACGCTCAAAAAGACTTCTGAAATGCTCTCAGATCAACCACATTCTAAAACACTTTTTCAAACTCTTCTGGTTCACAATTATACATATTGAAACACTTGAGATAAGTCTTCCAATTTTGATGATTAAACCGGAACACGTTATAAAAGATATACGGTGTATTATTTTCTATTTGGAACACTTTTGTAAGTTGTTCCGATTTTATATTTTATACCAGAACACATTTTAAAAGTCATTCGATTTGTACTCATTGTAATCGGAACACTTCCAGTAACTCTTCCGATTTCTTTCATTTTATGCATTCCGGAACACTTTTAGGATGTGTTCCGATTTGGTTTTTTAATATTTATTTTATATTTTTTTGGTTATTATTTGTTATTTTCATAATGCAGACACTAGACCAAGACTGTAGGATTTTGCGTTGTAGGCCAGCACGCGATGTTCCACAAACGGTGCCAAGAGAGGATGGGCATGTTGGTGCATCTCCATCTGCTCTACAGATTGTTAGTCTCCATCTGCTCCATAGCCTGTTGGTGCATCTTCATCTGTTCCACGGTCTACTGACTTTTCAAGAAGGCCTTACGATATGTCTCTACTAGTGAAGTACGAGCAGCATGTGGATCAACATGTATGGTACAGTGAGGTAAGTAACAAAAATTTAATCTATATGGAATAATTTTTTATTTTAAATGTGTATTTTCATTTGTTTTTAAATATGTTTTTTATTTGTTTTCAGGAGAGAGGTACGAAGAAAGAGCTTAAAGTTGTTGGACATGGGCAAAAGCTTAAGAGGATGGTTCATATTGCTCTCCCACGAGAGATAGAGGATTTGATGTTTAGGCCTGGTCTTACTTATCTATAGAGGACCAGTCTGACAAAGATATGCGTGAACCTTGTATCGACATTTGTAGAGAGGTGGAATTTGGAGACATCATCATTTCACATATCATTTAGTGAGATGACTATTATTTTGGATGACGTTGCTTGTCTGATACACTTTCCCATCAGGGGGAGTTTCTGGATCCCCGAGCATGTCATTGAGCGAGTTGCAGTTCAGCTTGCTATTAATTATTTAGGAATGTCATAGGGTACTGCTTCCAGAAATGTACGTGACTACAGAGGTGCTTACTATAATTTGGCATGGTTACACGACAAATTTGTGGAGCATCGAGCTACTGGTAGTTAGGCGTATGCGACTAGATGCTATCTGATGATGTTGGTGGATTACACCATTTTTTCTGACAAGACCTTTATGTTTGTCGAGGCACGATATATGTTGTTGTTCAGGGACTTAGAAAGCCTTAGAGGTTACTGTTGGAGAGTTGTTGCTTTGGTTACCCTTTACAGATATCTTAGAGATGCATCCATGTTTAGTTGCAAGCAGCTTGGTGGATATCCTACTCTATTGCAGGTATTTATTTAAATTTATTGTATTTTAATTTATGTATTTTTATTACATCTGTTTACTAACAGTATTAATTTTGTAACAGTGTTAGATTCATGAGTATTTTCTGACACTTGGAAAGAAAGGAGAGAATTGGATACCACCTAAAAATCACTGACTTCCTAGAGCTATGAGATGGTCGTACAGAAAAGGAGTCCTGAAGGTAGATGAGTTGAGACTTATCTTGTATGAGTTGACACCTACATACGTTATATGGGGCCCATTCAATGATCATAGAGAGCGGTGCCCGTTTAATGAGATTTGCCTATACAGGGGGTTTCTACAGTGGGGTGAAACTTCAGTTTCATACTTGTCTGACAGATGTATATGTCAGTTTAGATACAGGAAGTATATTCCATCTACACCTCATGTTGATATGATGTCTGATGATGATATTTCTCTTGAGTGGATTGGTTACCACAGGATCATCGTCTAAGTGATTCATCTGATATCACACGCCACTGTTCCACGTGAGACTGTTGATGGATACTTGGAATGGTATTATCGTATGTCACATCCTAGGTTGGTTTCTCCCCTATGTGATGCTCGTAGAGAGGTTCTAGTTCCTATTTATGAAGCAAGACCATCTGATCCTGCATTGGCTCATGTCTTCACCTTGATTCACCGTTATCTCTGACAAAATGAAGCTGACTCACATAACCCACAGTTTGTTGATTTATTTGAGGCTTTACGCATTTATCATTTTGGTTGATTTATGTTGTATTTTTATACTTTTCTTATGTATTAACTCTAAGACTTATGTTGGATTTATATTTTGGATTAATTTATGTTTTATGATTTATTTCAATGGTTATGATAGCACAAACAATTTCGAATGACTATGATTGCACCGACAGTTTTGAATGGTTGTGATAGCACAGACAGTTTTGAATGGTTGTGATTGCACCGACAATTTTGAATGGTTGTGATTGCACCAAAAATTTTGAATGGTTGTGATTGCATCGACAATTTTGAATGGTCCAGAATAAATCCATAGTAGTATAAATAGGAGTCATATGTTTTTTAGAAAAACATTAGATTTTAAAAATGCCTCTTCCTTAATTTTTGATTAACACAAAAGTGTATTTCCCTGGAGAAAAATATCCTGTGAAGTCTCGGATCCCTGACGGATTTTTGGTCCTCGAGTCATTGATGGAAAAGTTTGAATAATTGATGCCTGAACATGATAATAGAAGGGTGATGAAGATTTCGTACCGTGAAAATTGGAATATGGATGTTGACAAAAGGGTAAGTTACAACGTTGTTGAGTTGAATAGCGGTGAAGGTATGAAGGCCATGTAGAAATCATATCGATGTAGCTTAACTAAGGGGTCGATCGAGTTGGAAGAAAATATTACAAGATCTGTTGAAGACATTATAAAAATGTTACAATGTCCATAATCATCTGGTAGTGTCTAAGTTATTTCTAGTTGTGATGTTTTAAGTTATTTCTAGTTGTGTTGTTTTAAGTTATTTCTAGTTATGTTGTTTTAAGTTATTTCTAGTTGTGTTGTAATGCTCGGAACTATGTTATAATAAAAGTATGTTGGTGATAACAGTTAGAGTCAACATAATACAACAATAACAGCATGGTAAGTCACTTATGCTAAACTAACATATGATGATAATACATGAGAAAGTTGTAGCCAAATTTGTAGACGTCTCTCAAATCCTAACATCCTCTTACATGTTTACCTGAGTATAATGTAAAGTCAGTAATGTCATATATTAAAAAGATAAAGTAAAATAAAGTAAATTAAAGTAATTACCTGAACCCAGTAGTCATTGTTGACAAAACCAATGCATTAAATAGTTGCAGTTTGTGAATGTGAGGTTGTCATAGGAAAAAAAAGTCAAGCACAGATTTCCTAAATGCACAAGAATGACATTATAGCGATTCACTATCAAATAACCCATGTCTGGTAGTGTCAACCATTTCTCTGGTGGTTATGGATCATTAGAATCTATCATCAATCCTTCTCTCACTTATGATAGATGATCTCCGAATAACTTCTCATACAAACTCTTAATATCCCTTATTTCCATGTCCAACTCTCAACGAACAACTTC